GTGAGATAATGACCTTGGCTGAGAAATAGGTAGAACAATTAGAAAGACATTAAACTAAGAACACAAGTGAAATGATTCTGAAGAGGGAAATGCAGCACAAATGCACCATGTCAAAAGTAATTAAACCTATTTAATAAAGAATGTGAGGAAGAATTCTCTTCCTCTTTGTTCATTTCAAAATCCTAGGGGACTGGATAACAAGAAAAAGGATGTGGACTGCTTTTACTGGTAATAAGAATTTTGATATAACTGTCACTACTGAAACCTACAGATAATTATACCATTTTAGAATATTAAAAACACCTGATTGTTATTTGAATGAGAAAGTAATGAGTGGGCAATGAGGACTAGAAATGCAGTTTACATTAAAATCCCATCATCTATTACATGTCTACTGATGAGTCAGAACAGTATCTTAAATGCATACACATCAACGTCCTAAGTAACAAGTTAAAAGGTCCTTGGTAAGATTTTGTTACAGACCACTAAAGAAAAAATGCATTAACCTTGAAGTGTTTATCTCCAAGTTATACAAATTAAACCTTGCACTATCATGGCAACTTTAACTTGAAAGAAATGCTGGATGTCCAGTGCAGCCAGCAAAAAAAATATATATATATCATTTCATTTTCCGAAAAAAGAAAAATGATCACTTTTCTACAGATATGGCTTTGTTCCAATGTAAGAGAATGCTATTTTGTAGCAAAATACTCGACTATTGTCTAGCCAACTAAGAACTACATGGAAAGAGGGAAGGTCCAACCAGCCATGTCAATCTTTGATGCTTCCAAAGGGAATCAACCAGGAGAAAATGGATTAGGAAGCTGACTATGGGAAAAGTGGGAAATTTAAAATAGAAAGAAGGAAGTAAACGATGACTAGGCGTTCTTGAAAAATAATGTGCATGTAGCCCAAAAACTACATTTCTATAAATCAAAGAGGAGAACTATTACTTCCTGCTCAGTCCAGTTCAGCAGTGAAGTAACGATGGCAGTTACAAAGAAACTGTAATAATAGGACAAGATGAAAAAGATAGTGATCAATATAAACTGAAAATTAGGAAATGAGAGACAATAACAAGAACTAATGACACAGGAGTAAAGAAATCCATGTCTGGCATGGCAAAGGACTATCAGAGAAGGGTTTTCTTGCTGTTGTGTAAAATACATAAGACTAAGATTTCTTAAAGATTCTTAAAGATTTCTAAAAGATTTCTTAGCACCAGCGCAAGCCAGTCACTAGGCAGATAGTGTATAACTGCTAATAAACACAGAGAGCAAAATGACCAATAATTTATTTTTAATCTTGCTGCCTTAGAAATAAAATATTTTCCATTCCATTAACAAATAAAAGGGATGATATACAACATCCACTAGATATAATCAATTTATTCAAGCTCAGGTAACTCATGCCAAAAATCTTTAACTTCTCTCTGAAGATCTTCCTGGTCCAGTGATGTTCAGTTTCAATACATTTTGAAATACTAGGACATTCCAAAATACTAGAAAAATGACAGTGTTGGGCCAGCGTTCAAAAAGAGGTAAGGAGGACGATCCATGAAACTACCAGCCTGAAAAATAATGCTCACCCTGGGAAAATACTGGGATCGTTTATTTGGAATTTAATTGACACAGCATTAAAGAATAGCTATATCCTTAATACCAGCCAATCAGGTTTTACCAAAAATAGGTCTTGCTACTCACTCCTCATTCCTTTCCCTGGTAAGTTACACGTTTGATTCATGCAGATAGCTGTATTGATGTAAGACTCGTGTTCAGCTGAGTCCTACATGACATTAAAAACTAGCAGTATAAAATGTCAGTTAAGCGTGTTCTAAATGAATTAAAATCCAGCTAAAGAGTAGGACTCAGAGCGGTCATTAGGGAACGTGGTTGAATATGTGGGTACTTCCAAAGAGGTTCTGTGAGGTGTTGGATTTTCATCAGTTATCCTGAAGTAAATGTACTGATCATTTGATCAGATTTGCAGGCGATATAAAGCTTGGAAGATTGCTAAAGACCAATCAGGACTGGGCAATTCCAGAACGAGAACCAAAAGACATTTAGGTCACACCATAATCCCACAGGCTGCCTCTTCCCAGGGGAGCCCAGGGTGAGTACTACCTTTTGGGGAAGAGAAGGTGGACTTTCCTGCACTGCCAGTGGTGGCTGTGCTCTAGGAAGTCACAGCTTTGCAAAGTCCTCCTGTCTCCACAGGTGAAGCCTGACCCTCACCACAAGCGCTGCTGCGGCCAGCAGCCATGGAAGAAGCAGATTTGTTCCCACCTTGCTGTTTCCATGTTCCAGCTTAGGCTGTGCAGGGAAGTTAAACAGGCACAAAACCACCTTTCCAAAACAAACAAACAAAACACCCAAACAAGGCACTTTCTAGTGTTTAGCTATGATCCAGCTCACATAAGCCAAACAAACCCCAGTACAAGGCAGAGGGCAGCACCATGATGCAGCAGCAGGAACAGGAGGGGAGATTACCTTGGGCCTCTTCACCTAACAGTAGCTGACAAAATTTGAGTAACAGGGGGCCCTCTCCCTGAGAGACACGCAGCTCACCCCAATGCTCCCCGAATAAGGGAAGAAGAGCTTGCAAGAGCTCTTGCAAGAAGAGCTATTGTGGCCCTGGGATGCTGGACAGCAAGGACCAGAAGGAATAACTGTATCTCTGTTCATGATGAGAGTGGTACTGGATCACACAGGCTGCCCTGGTACCTGCGTTCTTAAAAAATCTTTTAAAAATGGAGTAGTGATATATGAGTCACAAAGACGATAGGAAAGCTGGAGAAAATACCTTCAGATGAAAGGTTGAAGGAGTTCAGTCTTCCTTTAATTTAGCAAAAGGAAGATTGAATGTTAACTTGATTACCACGTATAAATACCTTCACATGAAGAGATACCAGGTACTAAAGTGCTCTGTAATCTAGAAGATAAAGTATAACGACAGCTGGAAGCTGAAGCATACAAATTTAAATGATTTACGAATTTTAAATAGTGCAGGTGATTAACCAAATAATGAAGGAAAGGCATGGATCCTCTATTCCGGAAAGGCATGGATCCTCTATTCCTTGAAGTCTTTGAATCAAGATTGATGACTTTCTGGAAAATATGTTTAAGCTTTGCTTAACACACAGACAGACAGACAGACAGAAGACACACACACACACACACACACACACACACACACGGACTCCACACAGGCTCACAAGGATCCAGAGACATACAGGAGTTCAGATTAGATGGCATAATAGTTCCATCTGGTCTTAAATTCTAAGAATCCATGAATACTGAAAGGCATTTTTATGTCATTCTTTGAAGCTCAGGAAATAGGCTGTAAAGCAAGGAGTACAAAAGTGGTCTTGCACAAGAATTAGGACTCTGAAAGTGAGGTGTCCCAAGACTCACTCTGTTCCAATGCTCTGCTTTCACATCTTATAACATCCCCTGTGATTTTGCCTTCAGTTCTGAACCAGAGCAACATGACTAGTTGGATCAGTTTTTTTCTTCTTCCCCCTCTATATTTGAAGGTCTTTTCAGTACTCAAGTGCCTGCTCCTGTAATTATCTATTCTTCCGCAAAATAGCATCCCAGTTGGATCCCTATCAGATCCAAAACTTTCCCAAGACCCTTTCAAGCAACACACTGCACTCTACAATATAATACATTTTGGAGAGCTGAGTCAGCTTTAGAAGCATGGAGGACTTCCTTCAGAAAGAAAGATCCCACAAAACATTTGTAAGGTCTCAGAACAAAAAACAAAACCAAACTGAGTTGAGCAGTTTGCTCCAGGGCAGATAGTGAACACACTCGTAGGTATTAACAGTTTATTTTTCATATAAGCACCAATTTGTCCAGATAGTCCAGCAAGATGGGACACAACAGCTACACCAGTAAGTTAAACAATATAAACATTCCTGGGTACTATTTGAATGGTCCTTGCCAGAGTTTGGCTGAACAACCTTTCACTTTCCCAGTTCAGGAGCTGGCATAGGCCAAGGACTATTCCCAAAAGGCAGTTTGGACACAGCCACCTTATCTGAGAGGATAAGAGAGGTTAGTATGAAAGCCACCGTACTGTGCCAGTGAGCGCAGTGCCAAAGAATGGCCTGCACACATTAGTAGTAAAGAGGTAGCCAGCAGTTCAGCACCAACCTGAAACAGCATCCAACTCAACCAGAAGCACGGAGAAAATTAATCATCAGACTGGAGACTGCTCACGGGTTGGAAACGTGCCATGATTAACACACACATAATCTAGCTATACTAAATGCTAATAAACTGCATTATTTTAAAACAGAAACAACAGAAGTAGTAACTCCTCTTTCAGAAGGAGAGACCCTATGAGACGCCACAATCAAAGGAACGGGGAGAAGTTCTCTCACGCTACACAGTCAGTAAAGAAAAACACACTGGAGTCACTCTTACTTCTTACATCCAGGAGCACACACACAACTCAACAGCAAGCGCTCTAGAGATCTAACCTCACTAGGGTGAATTTTATTCTCATTTAGACTGAAAAATTTTGAGGAACGTAGAAGCCAAGATTTCATTTTCCTTTCTCCAAAATATTTCTTAAAATTCCTCACTGCTTCATGAAGAGTTCCTCAGGCTGCAATATATTCATCCAATTTGCCAGTCCCAGAGACAGCCTCATCCTCCCCAGAATCCCAGATCGACAGATGCGCAGTCCCACAATTGTTTTATCTTACCCCGCATCCCCAGACTATGCAGCTTTTCCTCCACGCTATCTTCCGCCAAGAACCTTTTGTAACTTCATGTCCCAAAGCCTCCAAGTCCCAAGAATCATATGAAGATACACTACTGAGAAATTCTGTTCATACCTCTCCGTCCCAAACCTTACATTTCAGACAATAACATTGCTACATCCCTTCTGAAACAACCACTTCCCCAAAATCCCACTGCATTCCCTTGACACTTTCTACCCTAACCATGTTCTTGTCATCCTCCCCTCTCTGCAGAAGCTAATCTCACCTCCAGTATCCGGATCATGAAAGTTGGGGTCCAGGCCCTTCTCCAGGAGTCTGCAGACCTTCTCCGCATTTAGCATTTGCACGTGCTCCATGAACTTCTTCAGATTTGCCTGCAGCCATGACATCCCAGGAAAACACACAATACACAGTGTTAGCACCCTGATAAGAGGAAAGAAGCCACCAGAGGAATATACCCATTCAGGAGACTCAAGGCAACAGCAAGAACAATGGGACAGCACCCATCAGAAACTAGGGTACATATTTATTCCCAGACTCCTGAACCTCTTAGGGGGGCATGCTGCAAATCTACACAGAACATGCTCCTTCCCTTCCACCCCTCAAGACTGCAGATCACTGGATTATTTCATAGAAATTGTCAGGGGCTGACAGCCACCACCCTTTGCCCCCCCAGTTGCCCGCAGACAACCACTCACCCACCCTGCTAATGCACACTTTCGGTTCGTGCACACCATGAGGCCAGCATACATATGACACAGCTGTGACACAGACTCATCATCAGTCAAGTAAATTTAATACCAGTCAAGTAAATTTAATACATTCTTCAATGAGACAGTACGGTGCTTGCTATGGAAAGTGGTGTGCCGACTGCCTGCTAAGTAGCAAACTAATAAAGGTCAAACTTACTGCCCAGTGTCTCACTGCAACATCACGTACGTTGTTTTGTGGCCCAACCTTATTTTAAAGTGATATAGCCTATCTGCCTGTTGAACTTAAAACAATTAGGAAGAAAGACCAGGCTCCTCCAACACTGACTATTCTTGTACAGTGTAACGAGTATGGATGCCGTACTATCTGCTGTGAAATTGTTTTCTTGTTGATGTAATTTTCTATATTTGGCCAGAAATTAAATCTGATCTCCTGAGGGGTGGGGTGGGGGGGGGAGTTGTTGTTTTTTTCCCCTTCTTTTTCTCTTTTGGGTAGCTATACATGACAAATACATTATTTTAACAAGTTTCACAATAATGCATCGATTCCAGAAATTATAACTCTACCCCAGGCAGGCAGGCAGCACTTAGATGAACTACAGTGTGAAAACATCCATTCCACACGTTTCCAATCCAGTTTTTCAGATCTTCAAGTGCAGGCTTATATTTTTTTTTCTTTGAGCTCATTTCATCAAACTTTGCAGTAGTCAGCTTAGGGAAGGGGCTCTAGAAAGTATTTGACACAGCAGAAATACTGTGCAATTAGCTGAGGGAACTCTTCAGGAAAAGCTTTAACCAACCAATCAAGCTGCCATCAGTGGTCAAGGAACTGTTCTAGAATCAATCCACAGATGGCTGAACACTTCTGAACAAAGCAGATTTTCCATCCCATGAAAAATCTCAAGTTCCAACATTTTCCCCCTAATTTGACATAAAAAATGAACTCTTCCACAAGATAAAATGAGTTCTACCAAAGTGCTTCACTTCAAATTTCATTTCAAACTTTTCCAGTTGAAAAAATAGAATAAAAAAAATCAAAAAATATCAAATAGGGTGCCGAAACATTTCTGAGTTTTTTCAAAGACTTCAAAAAAAATCATATATTATTTTGCGCAATGTTTTGATTTTTTCAAAATTTTATTTTCTAAAAGAAAAACTTAATAGCACTTTTAGAACCACCTCTACAGAGGCGTCTGCAAAAAGTTGGGACCCACAAAGTTCATCTTTGCTATTTCACCAGCATGCTGAGGAGATAGTGGTGGGACGTTAGATAGAAAATACCACCAAGATGAGACTTTCTAAGCATAAGGCAAATTAATGTTGGGCTATGAACCTGATTAAAACCAAATTCATTCTCTGTATGAGTACATACACATATACTGCACATAACCAAACCTAAAACATATAACACTTTTTTTCTAAAAGCAGCACCATGGATTGATACCATAAATAAGCCATGTCATGTATTAAAAATTATCTAGGCATTTTAGTACACAACCCCTTGCACTGATATACCATCTCAGCCGAGTTAATCAGTAGTGCAGATCTACTGTGCTTTAGCTGGCATCAAAAATGCTTGCTCTGAACATCTGCATAGTCGTACATAGACCTATGCAGAGATGTCAATGCCACAAAAATGCACAATCAGAAGCACAAAGGCACAAAGTGCAATTCAGTCACAAGGTTCACTGCTCCTGATGTCCTTAGGGACAGCAGTGCAGCAAGGCAATTGTCAAGAGCAAAGAAGTACAATTAGGCATTAGCTGGAGATGGCTGATGCCTCAGCCTCATCCCCCAGTGCGGAGGCACAGTCCTGCTCCCCCTTCCCCATGGCCTCGCTCATCAGCGGATGCGCCCCACCATGTCCCTCTGACCACCACCAGCAAAGAAACCAGCCAGCCGCTGACAGGGTCACCAAAACAAACCCAGCAGCACGGCAGGACAGCGCCGATGCACCAGCAATGAGAAGTTGCTTGAAGAGCAAAATGGGTCAGGTCTCCAGCATCGGGAGGGGGTAGAGATATTTACCAGAAGTGTAAGTGATTCTCACAGCATGAACACTTGCATCACGAGCATGGCAAAAGGGGAACGCGCATCAATTGCTGCAGGGCACAAACTTTGCTTTTTCCAATGGCAAGACATTCCCTTGGACCTCGCTGTCACACAGTACCTCTCCGCAAAATCTCCTCTCACTCCTTAAGTAATTAAAGTAAAATCCATCTCCTCATGCCCATTTCAACTTCTCTTCAGCTATTTCAATAAATACTGCAACCCTCTGAAAGAAATCACAACTGCATGCCAGCATCAGCAAAGACTGGACTTGATAGCTCCAGCCACCACATCTAGGATGTGAAACATCCCTCTTTCCAAGCATGACCCAGCTGTGCAGTGTTAACCCTGTTCTTCCCACTCACTTTTGTCCATATGTCCTTTCCCCTCCCTTCTTAGCAGCTCACTTGTAGCGAAGTGACCAAATCTAACTCAATAAACGATGTTCCACGAATGACCCTGCTGAAGCCACGCAAGTGCTGCATGCTAAGGCCATTTTCCCCTGAAGTCTCTCACCTCTGCCCAAACAGCACAGGCTTTTGGGAGGAGCCCTGACAGCTATCATGAAAGGCGGGCATGCCCAGGGCAGGGCAGGCTTGTCCTTCCGTGCGTCGATTGCCTCTCCCCACGCATCCTGCTGCTGCGGCGACTGGCTTTTCTGCAACGTGGATTTAATCCCACAGTGTTTAGGTGATGTTAGGTATGTTCAGGTGATGCCAACAGCAGTGTCAGTCCCCTTGATAACTGCCTTGGTGCAGACGAGCCAACATCAGCACATGTGGGACATTTGGAGATGAAAGCCTAGGAGTGGAAATGAGCACGGGAAGCAATCCCATGCAGCACGGCGTCCTGCCAGGTGCCACCCCACGCACCAGCCTCCAGCCTGCGCTCTGCAGTCCACCCCAGAAGGCAACCACCTTCTGTCCACGACGGCACCGGCCGCAGGACTTGGACTCCCCGCACCGCTGCGCAACCCGCTCTGCTCACGCTCCCCAACGACACCTCACTCCACAGGATGGCAGCACACACTCGCAGAGGACAACCTCGTCTCCCTCACCACCACTGCCCTGAGGCTGCTGAGCCAAAATCCTCCCTGGGGCCTCCAGAAACAGAGACATGTCTTCTGCAGGCTCTCTTCCCCACCCAGAAGCAGCTGGGACCTCAGCTGGTTTCCCCTCCACGGTCTGCGACGCTCTCCAATGCTAATCAGAGTATGCAAGTGCCCGCTGTCTGAAAAAAGGACGCGATACAGAAAGCCCTCAATTAGCTGAGCAAACCCCTCTCTGCCAGCCCCCTTCCTTCTCACCCTTTGTCAATGCCCCAGCCACCTGAAAAGGCTTTCTTTAAACACGAGGATAAAATCCTGCAGTAGAGAAGTCTATGGCAAAACTCTGGGTGCCCAAAAAGGCAAACACTGCACCTTGGAATATGCAACAGAGGTTCATGACAATTTCACTTGTATCTTGTTATTAAACACATTTCAGATAGTAAATTGAAGTTCTTCTCTGCAAGTTCTGCCGGTGACTCTCTCATTTACAGATCCATGAATGTGTCTTACCCAGACCATCAGCGCTCACTAGCAGTGTGCTAGAATGTATTTCTATTATTCTAGGTGCTCAAGGAATTTAAAACATATGTTTTGATACCAGGAAGTTGATGCAGTATGTCAACTTTCAATGAACGCTTTTATACTTAAAAAGGAAATTGAAGAAAAAAATGTATGAGTAAAAAGAGTATGCAGAGGAAGGCATCCCTGATTCTGGGATTTGCATTCTTTCTCTGTAGATGCCTGCTTCTCACCACAGTTCCCACATACCATGTAAGTGTTAACAGGTTTGTGCAAGGAATTTACCTTGCGGATAATCAATTACTATCTTGCCTTTCCAAATGAAGAACAAAGAAGAAAGTTCACCTGTCCAAGGTTTCAGACCAAATCCATAGCAAAGCTTCAAAATAATTTGTCAAGTCCAGAGACTTAACCAGTTACATTTTACATAGAAGAATATTCTCTCTTCCCATCAGTTTAAAACTGCTCATTTGCACAGCAGTGTGCTTCAGATGCGCAGTCTGGTGCCTGACTGCCATTCACAAACCTAAAAACAACGGCGAGGGACAAGATGTAGGCATAGTGACTTCTGCTCATTGCTTGCCCCGGTTTGTTCCGTTGAGTTTGGTCCTAGGCCTCAGTGAACAACCCAAATACCAACAAAACCAAGAATATAAACAGTGAAAAAGATCATTTACCAAAACTGTAATGTTATGACACTACCAAGAATTCCATACCCAGAATTTAGATGACATGACAGCCTTGCTCCACTTAGGACGAATCTGAAATAAGGCATTACAAGGAAATGTACAAAAAAATCATTTGTAACCTAGATCATGTCACTGATCAAGTTGTAGCATGGACTTATTAAGTGTTGTGCTTGTGCAACTGAAGCCATGAACTGTGGTAGGAGACAGGAACTAGCAGCTAGGAGTAGGGTCACCTTAAGCCACCCTCACTGCCAAAAAAAAAGAGGGTTTGGACCTGCACTCTGAGCAACCAGGCAGTCACTTGAGCAACCTGAGTAGTTTGATTTTTAGGCACAGAGAGCAGCAGCACTTACAAGCAT